TTTTCATATTAAATAGGAGAATTTGTCGGCAATAAAATGATTTTGCAGACCAAACGGATGGCACATTTTTCTTAGTTTATTTGATCGAGTCTCATCCTCAAGTCTTGTGTTTATCCCTCGGAATAGATACATGATTTGATGTAGAGCGCTCTTTCATTTAAACTGTGAAGATTATGGGGTCAATTTGATTTTATATTTTTTTAAACTTAAATTTATATGTAAATTAAAGCGTCCTTCCGAAGCGGGCGACGAGATTTCGATTCTTGTGACCGACAGCTTCTTACGGGCAACTCCCCCAACTTTTTAGTGTTGCCGACAATACCATATTCTTGATTTTGAGCGAGCAAGTGACACGATTCGTGGTAGAAAAGAAATGTTTAACAAACGACACTCCTCTTTACAGGGGTTATTGAAAGAACATTTGGATATGACTGATAATGAGATTGAGTCTATTGAATATTAAACTCAGGACGGTGAGGGTGCAACCGAGATGGCTCCTTTGAGGTAGTATCACAGATGCTATATCTGCAAGTTGATTCAGCCATGCTATTTTCATTTATAATATGTTCTTTTGGGATGTAATCCAATGTAGTATGGATTTTATTTTTAAGTTTTATTAAGAATTTCATATCTTTCATTTGGGATGTAATTCAGTGTAGTATGAATTTACATTTTGTTTTAAATTATTTATTTTGCCCTGTTTAGTTTTAGGTTTATTTTTTCTTTTCTTTTTTTAGTTTTTTGTTTAGTTTTTGTGATCTAATATATTATATATTTTGATTGTTTTATCTCAGTAGCATTATGAGCTCTAGGATTTCAGGGACTTTGCGAGTTGTGTTGTGTTACTGCGGACTGTCGGCTCCATTACTCACGTCACGCCAGTAACATAACAGTGGGAGACAGTTCTACGGTTGTTATAGGGGTGTTTCAGCAATATACGGTTTCTTCAGTTGGGCTGACATTCCGACATACTTCGGGCTTCTAGTTGAGTGGCGGGTTTTATACATCCGGGTGACCGAGTAGCTTTCGACGACCCTTGAGTACTAACATATAGTTGAGTCTAGCCCCGACCCTAGTGCTTGCGATCCCCTCTTTTCAGACATCTTCATATGTTTTCTTGTAATTTTTAGACAAAGCACTCGTGGTTTCTTTTCGGGATTTTCCCGTATTTTCTACGATTTTCATCAATTTGTCGATTCATCGATTTCCTCGCATTTTTCTTATCGTGAGTCTTTTGACGATTTTTTCTCGAGTTTTTTGAATGAGGTTTTTTTGCTTTTGTTTATATACAGCATTTCAGCCTGCTTTTTCAAATTTTGTTGTTTGTGTCTGTTGCATCAATTACACCTAAGAAACAGCGGATCTCTCAGGTATGCAGGTTTGCTTTATGTTTACAGGATGTTACTTTCTTGTAATCACTTACTTGCTGTACTTCTTACTTTTCCTTTACACTGCATGTTGTACTGCTCTCTTTACTGCATACTTTACTGCTTGTCCTGTACTACATACTCTACTGTTATGTTATACACTGTACAACTTCAACATGTTCCCTATAAAATGTTTAAAGAACTACAACCATAGGGCCGCTGGATTTGACATCATAACCTGAAACCTTAGAAAACTTGAACTCGTCACGACAAGGAGTTTTCATATCCTTTTGATCTCTTTGAAGATAATATTTCATGATTTTTATCGAGAGTATTCTTAGGTAACTACAGTTGTCTAAGATATAACTAACTATAGGGGATTGCCCCTATATGAAGATTTTCCAAACTCAGCTCAAAATAAATCATATTTAATTTTTCATATTAAATAGGAGAATTTGTCGGCAATAAAATGATTTTGCAGACCAAACGGATGGCACATTTTTCTTAGTTTATTTGATCGAGTCTCATCCTCAAGTCTTGTGTTTATCACTCGGAATAGATACATGATTTGATGTAGAGCGCTCTTTCATTTAAACTGTGAAGATTATGGGGTCAATTTGATTTTATATTTTTTTAAACTTAAATTTATATGTAAATTAAAGCGTCCTTCCGAAGCGGGCGACGAGATTTCGATTCTTGTGACCGACAGCTTCTTACGGGCAACTCCCCCAATTTTTTAGTGCCGACAATACCATATTCTTGATTTTGAGCGAGCAAGTGACACGATTCGTGGTAGAAAAGAAATGTTTAACAAACGACACTCCTCTTTACAGGGGTTATTGAAAGAACATTTGGATATGACTGATAATGAGATTGAGTCTATTGAATATTAAACTCAGGACGGTGAGGGTGCAACCGAGATGGCTCCTTTGAGGGAGTATCACAGATGCTATATCTGCAAGTTGATTCAGCCATGCTATTTTCATTTATAATATGTTCTTTTGGGATGTAATCCAATGTAGTATGGATTTTATTTTTAAGTTTTATTAAGAATTTCGTATCTTTCATTTGGGATGTAATTCAGTGTAGTATGAATTTACATTTTGTTTTAAATTATTTATTTTGCCCTGTTTAGTTTTAGGTTTATTTTTTCTTTTCTTTTTTTAGTTTTTTGTTTAGTTTTTGTGATCTAATATATTATATATTTTGATTGTTTTATCTCAGTAGCATTATGAGCTCTAGGATTTCAGGGACTTTGCGAGTTGTGTTGTGTTACTGCGGACTGTCGGCTCCATTACTCACGTCACGCCAGTAACATAACAGTGGGAGACAGTTCTACGGTTGTTATAGGGGTGTTTCAGCAATATACGGTTTCTTCCGTTGGGCTGAGATTCCGACATACTCCCAGGCCGATAGTGATTATGTTAAGCCTGACAGTGATCGTGTTAAGATGGTTTCCCAATAGGACAGTGCCGCTGAGAAGAGATGACGTCAGAGTTTTAAACTAAATATTTTACTAATTTTACTTGTTATTGTAATTGTATTTCTTCTTATTTTATTTGTTTTGATACTCACAAAGTGGTGAACAGTATATTTTAATTTCTGTAACTGAACTATAATATTTTGAGACATCTGTTTCATCTATAATTTTTCATAAACTGTTTTGTTGCAAACAACTTAACCAAACAGAGGCAGAATGGTCATTTATCCAACAACAACTCCCAGTAAACTGTTCTGAATAAGTTGCCCCAAACAGCAAGTCAGTTTATTCTGATAATTTGCAGATTATCAGATTATCAGAATAATCTGTTTATCAGCAGATTATAAATAATCAACAGCTGTCACAAACAGAACCTTAGTTTATGAGTTGTTATCGAGAAGTTCATGTTATTATTTTGTGCTCCGGTCATAGAAATGGAGGTTGAAATTGATCATCTGATAGTATTAAAAACACCTTCTAATGATGGCTCAGTGCTGGAGTAGTTCGTCGTGGTTCCAATTGAGCCAAATGAGATGTTAGGTTGTTGAAACATCATAAGGTTCTAACTGTTAGAGCGAAGAATAATGGTCTTGGGAGGATAAGATCTTCTGGACGACGATGAAGTTTCAGCGATCAGATCAGATATGCTGGAAGAAATCTGAAGTTGGAATCTGGCAAACCACTGTATTAATACAACCTAGAATCTGGAAGAGTTCTGGCAGAAATTGGAATATGATAAAAAAAAAGCTAGCAGAAGCTGAAACCTGGCAGAATTCTGTATTAATATAGCTTCATAGACGGGAACTTTCTGGGAATTCTTGGCTTAAACAGCTGGAGACGAGAACCAACTTTGGAGGCGAGAAATCTGTGAATTCTTGGAATTTGGCAGAAGCGGGAGATGGGATCCTGGAGGCAGAATTAGGAAAGGGCAGACCTAGTCGGCTGCAGAAACTTGGATGCAGATATAGCTGGCTTCAGGGAAAGCTCGACAGCTAGGTTAGAGCATGGCTCTGATAGCATGTTAGAATAAAACCCAGGATACTTTTTATTGATACAAAGAGAGGTATATGTACCCACTACAAGAACAACTAGAAAGAAAAAATTAAACTCAGGATATAATAGAAAGGAAAAGAAATAAAACTGAATAAAAAAAATAAAAGAAATCAAAGGAAATAACTTAGAATAATTAGATAATGGCTATTACTAGTCATTAAAATATTATAATGTTTAAAAAATTGTAGTGAATATATTTATATGTATATATATATATATATAATAGTCAGATCGCAGCGCGCGCAGTCAGGCTAATGAGAAAAAGCATATTTCAGCGTTAGCTTTTTCAAAACACAGTTTTCCCAAACAGACAAAATTGCGGTGCGTTGCTGCGTTAGTGTATTGCTACACCGTTACCGTACCGCCGCCCCAAACGGACCCTTAGAATAACGTAAATGATCATCCTCACAACTTTTAAGATCAATTTAATTCTTCCACTTATAAATTTTGAATTATTTTAGTCCTATCATTATAGTAAAGTTAAAAAATTTTAAGAGTCCATGATCGATAAATTAGTAGTTGTGATCAAAATTGAAAATATATTTATAATTTTTTTGTATAAAAATCTAGATACTCATATGAATTTTTAGCTAGTTTAAATACCCGTTCATTCGTTTTAAACAAATCAAGTTCAAACATTAAAAATTTTAAACAAATCAAGCTCGAACGATGTACGAAAGCTCGACACAAGCTCAAGTAGGCATAAACAACTTATAATTGTACCAAGCTAAGTCCGAACCATGATCTACTCGACTCGGCTCGGCTCGATTACAGCCCTAGATCCAATACACATTCATAAATTCTCAGCAGAATTCAAATGCTATCAAGCTCTTCAATAAGATCCGCTAAGCTTTAAACACTTTTTGGCTCATAATAGTCCTGCTAATCAAAATTCATCAAAATAAATGATGACCACACACATATCACAAACTTAAAACCAATAAGACAATGATGTTCATAGCAAAATTAGATGAAGACGACATAAAATGCAACTTGAGAACAGTTACCTCTTAAATGAGTTAATAAATGCATTCCAAGAAATCTAACATGTTTCGTAAGAGCAACTAAAAAAACTAGGGATCAAATATTTAAACACTTACAGATTCGCCGCTAAGATTCATGTAAGTCTGTGGTTTTGCAAGGAGGACTGGGGTGCCCTCAAATTCTCCTGAATTAAACAAACTAAAATTAGCTTACAACAAACAAAATCAAATCAAATCAAATGGCATAAAAATAAGAAACTTCCTAGCAGCCACAGTAGCAATAAGTCACACAACTAACCTCCACCAAAGTAGGATTTGAAATGGATAGAAGCCATTGAAATTCCAAGTGATCGTGCAAAAGTGTCGATCATGTCAAAGCCCACCTGAAGCAAGGTCATTATTAAAAGTGAGAAAATTGTAGAAAAAACGGTCTCATAAGTGTAAAATATCATTTTAAGCGGAGAAATTGATACATTGTGCCTCGTGAATTGGTACTTTTCACCAGGATTGCCAAGTCCGATAAAGAGCCAAGGTTGTGGGCTAGAGAGAGGACGTGAAGGGAGAAAATGAAATAGACGATTGAAGAGCTTGCTGCAGTGGAGCATCGGCTATGTAATGGCTCTCAGTTATCTTTGAGATTGTATCATTTGAAATCCCCGACACAGAACTTTTGTTTTCATCCTAAGTTCACAAAAAAAAATGATTATTTAGTTAGTCTTTTTATCAAACATAATCCATTTATAATGAGCCACATTAAATTTAGTAAATTATAAACTAGTCCTTGTAATTTATAAATAGATTTATTTTCATGACATCTGCTCTTGCAATGTCTGAAAGCTCTGTTAACTTGTTAACTTGTGTTAGTGACAACCAAAATTTACTAAAATGGTCAAATATTCCTTCTGTTAGGAACACAGCCAAAATTTACTAAAATGGTCAAATATTCTCGTTTGTTGATCCCTCCAGAACCACTATCCTTTAACCACAAGAAAGAAAGGATGGAGAGGTTATGCCTATGTAGAGGCAGAATTATACTTATTGATTGAAATGGTAAAACTATGCGAGACATATTCACTGACACTGAGCGAATATAAAAAGAAATAAGTAGAGGAAAAAGCTTCAAGTGATCTAGCAAAATTTAGAAATGAGATTTTAGCCAAGTTCTTAAAGCAAGCAAAATAGTTTTATATGGAAGTTTGGAGTTTATTCACATGAACAAAAGCCTTTCCCACAATTTCTATTCAAATTAAAGATTATGACATGCATACAATGCTTAAATATACAATATTTCATCAAAACTCATAAATTCAATTATCAAAGAAATAAAAAATAATGAATTTATTATTTATTATTAAGAATGACGATGGGTTGGTAATATGTTTATAACCATCCTTCACCAAGACAATCATCTCCCAACACCACCCATCACTTCTAACGATTAAATCGGCAGGGGCTCATCAGGTGAAAGCTGAATATAGACTGGTGAAAGGTTGAGCATCATATAAATCGCATGCCAAAAAAAAAAGTTCCCTTCACTAACAGAAAAAGCAAAATACATATTCTGCTCTGTCCCACAGCCCCCAACATTTCCTGCAGTTTTTTAAGCTTGGATAAGATCTCATAAAGTGCAAGTCAGGTATGGATTGGATGCAACATTGAGCATCTCTCTCGAAATATTTAAAATAAAGTTGCTCTTCCATTTATTACAAAAATTAAGGCAAGAATGTTTAAAGGTATAAAAAGTCTGCCACAGAGGCAGAAAAACTTACATCTCAGCTAGCAGCTGATGTTTACTGCTCAGTTGCATTATGAGATTGTGGTACTCATTTGCGAATCAAGACTTGAGGGGTTGAAAAGTAAGATCTAGAAGTGATTTACAAGAGGGACATTAACTAAAATTGCCTTCTCATTAATTAAAAAGGGAAATTATTAAGATTCACTTGATATTATCAGTCCCAAATCATATTAGATGAAAATTTGGACCCTAATGATACAAAATAATGTCGCAACTGATTTCAGTGAAAATTAAACGTAGGATCCCTAATCCATCAAACTACAAGTATGAATGGAAGTGTGGAAAGCATGAAATGTTTAGGAATTCTAAAAACATTAACTGAAATAACAGATTCTGTGTTCAATATCTAATAGTGAGACAATACCATTTAATTGAGATTTTCTCAGCCTTAACTTGTATATTTTTAGCATAAATGATTTATCAAAACTCTTTTAAATTTACTTGAACATTTTTTCTGTGCTCTAATATTTATACTATTATTTTACAAGATAAGACTGGTAAAATACCGTTCATTGTAGCAGTATTCTAGATGACCCGTTTAGCTTAATTGTTAAGAAAAATGCATCACAAGGTTGATGCCTCAATAACTTCACCATTGGTAATCAACAAATACACTTAACCGCGTACTCTTAATCCACTGTTTTGATCATGTCAACACCTTCCGATCAACTTCTCACTCAACACAAAACATACAAAATTCCCCTTACTAAGGATCCAGTAGTAATGAACCGTGCCAGCTGAACCTCTCAAGTAGGTGACTGAAATGAGCTCATCGTGGTGGCCTCCATCTCTTCCAATTAGCACATTATTGCACAACTTTCTTTCCTCTTCTTCAAAGTTCCCCTTGCTGCCTTCCCTATTGCACAGATCATGCAATCTATTTCTCGTGCTTGCAACCACTTCCTTTCTTTATTTAGAGAAGACCGAGCTAGGGGGCATCGCAGCTCTATCATCTACAATAGCCAAATCTTCCCAATTGAGCCTCCTTCCCTCTTCCAAAGCCCTGGTCCCTCTTCTCCTCTGAGACCCTCACCTCCTTTTTCTCTTGAAAAAAATTCACCGACATCTTTCTTTGACTTAGGAATTCCAACCCTGAATTTCTTTCCTCTTCATCCTCCTTTTCGCTTTTAAATTTACCAACCTCATTTGACTAAATTTAGTTAGAGATAATTTTGATGTAATTAACATTTTTTTTATTATTTTTCTGATACCAAAATTATGTTTTAATTTATTATATTAGGTTTATGATGAGACATTTTTTTGTTGTTGCGCAAAAGTTTTCTTTAAGTTTGGTGATATATTATAACAAAAAAAAATTATAATTTAGTTCCTAATTTAATACTATTGTAATGATAATAATTAGATTAGGTGAATTTTGGAGAAATTTATACCATAAAAGGTTTAAACAAAACTCTCGATACATTTACCTAAGTTTTAATATAATTGGGTTTAGTTGGATTAGACCTTAGGTTGCCATGCATCATTTATTTATTTCTTATTTTACATTATAAATAAGATGTTTGGATATAAGGCCTTCAATTTAGTCTCAAACAGTGTTATGATTTGGATATCAATTAAGATTAGAGTTTCTTACGACATGATTGAGGTAGGTAAAGTTATTTATCAAAGGATAAATAAACTTCATTTTTAGGGGTGTATTATTGATATTTGTTTTTCGTTTTTAGCTAATTTGTGAAATTATTAATCTAGTATTTTTAATTTTTATTACTTGTTACGTATGCTACTGTTTATTAGATTAATTTTTATAGTCAATGTGTTTATTTTTTTGTGTATCATCCTTGTTAAATATAGTACATTTTATTCATGCAAAAAACATGTTATGGAACATCAACAAAATTACTTATATGTTTGTTAAAAATTTGCAAAACTATATAATTATATGTCGTGAAGTATAAAGCGATAAAACTCTTTTAAATATTGATTAGTTGGGCCAACGAGGCCACAGAGTAGAAATTATAGAAAACCATTAGATTTCCTGAGGTTAATAATTATCATTTCGATTTCAAGATATCTGACAATACTAACAATAGATATATAAAGTAAAGTGTAATTCAATAGTAAATGATTGTTGAGTCACATTTAATGAGATATAATTGAACCTAATTTTGTTTCTTCAAGAAATGTAAAAATAAAAATTCTATAAATTGTAGTGTCAAGTATTGCATCAAAAGCATCATCTTATTAAAAGTAATTTCAAGAACATGTGACAAGTTACATTTTGGCATTGTAATATTATTAAAATCAGATGACAATATTGATGGCATTCCTCACCTCCTAGTACATATAATAAATCATGACATTTTTATTACCCAAACTGCATACCTAACACATTGTCATTAATGTTTTAATAAATGGTTATTATTTTTTTGATTTAATTGCCAAACTCAACTATGACAATTTTTCTTATAATAGACTCTTTTGTTTATTTGGTGGATCATCGCCACAGGAGCACTATTTTCAACATTAGACTCATTTTGGGTATTTTAATTTATGCATTGGTTTATTGTCTTGCTTTAGGATTTGACTAGTTTGCTTTTATAGTTATACTTTCAATTTATTTTTTATTAAATATTATTTTATTTTCTTTTTGTACTTTGACTATAAGTTTTATTAACTTTAAAAAAAATATATTTTTTTGTTTATGCTAATATATATTATTTACAACTGTTTATGTATGAATTTTCCCTTGTGGGTACATAATAGGACTTTACTTATTCATTTATCATGTCATATGTTGATGGGGTAAGCCGTTTTCCAGACCTGGTATGCGACACCAGTGTCATCTCCAACTAGCTCTACACTTGCATTATTCACTAGCCTCAACTCTAGGACAGCCTTCCTATCTCTTCAAATTCCTTTAAGTTTGGCATTATAAAACCCTTCCTTCAAAACTTAGTTTGAGGCATCCATTGCTGCTTATAGAGATAAGGTGTTGTTCATCCAGGAAAGTGTTGCGTGGAGCAAAGTACATTTTGTCATTAACATCTCCTATTACAATCTTATTTCCGTGTTTAATCAAAAAGGCTTAAGATGGAGCTTAAAGTATTTATAATGTTGATTTGACCTCAATGGTGTACAATATGCTCAAACAATACTAAACGAAAAAAAAAATCAGTTTGTAAGAGTAGGAACTGAGGCAGCAGTAAAAAGCATTTTCAACGACATCGTTGAGTAATGCATGTTTCAACCAAAGGACAAAAGCATAGTACTCCATGATAGGAATAAGTAGCATAGGTGGCTCTCATAAGGTAAAAATGTAAGCTCTAAACTAGTGCAGGGATTTCATGCTCTCGAAGCTTTCAAGTAATATGGCAAGTTTCTGCTTCTTGTGTAACTATGTTATTGTTTACAATTTTCTCTTCCTTTACTTTTATTAAAATAATTATATATAAAAGCCTGAAAGTAAGAGTGTAATTCTCTTCCAAATCATAAATCAACCTAAAAATTCTCCTTCTATATACGTTACTGCCTTTGCAGTTGTAACAAGGAATGTTATTTTCTTAGTTTTTGAATCTCCAATTTCTCCTGAATTAATTGTTAAAGAGAAACAACATGACAGAGAACTTCAAGTGCTAACAGCACTTAATCATCCATGTTAAAAACAATACATACTCAAAAATTAAAATTAAAATAGAAAAGTATCTCTAACAATAAACTACTTAGTGTTAAGCAAGTATATTTTCAGAAAATCAATATCAGAGCAGTTCGGTAGCAAGATTTATGCAAAATCTAACAAGAAATCCTGCAAAAAACATAAAAAATATCATATTCAATACTACATTTTTCTGAATCATGTTTTTATTTGGTTTTACCTTAAACCCCAGGCTTACTAAATCCAAGCATTTTCATCGGATTTAACTTAGAACCGCACTTATCCCGACTTCCTCGTCTCCGTTCACAAGCCGCAGCTCCGTCGGTGCCTTCCCCACAGAGCTTCGGTCGTGACTTCCTCGATTCGTTGTTATCTAGGTTTTCGGGTACTAGCAAAGGAGGGGAAGAAGAGGGTTTCAGGTTACAGAGGTGTTTGGTCGGAGACTTGACATGAATTACGCATAATTTTAATGCCGCAGGGTAGTGAGCGTTATATCCCTCTTTGTACATCTGTTTAACGAAAAAATATTACATACACAAGTAGAAGTAAGGTCCGTGCGTAATCAATGAAATCACGCCACGACATCCCGCGCAACAGAGAAAAAAATGGCGCAGTAACAAGGGGAATATTCCCTCCACGTTATTGATGTGTTATTCATGTGTTATTGCGTGTTATTGATGTGTTATTGTGTTATTATAACAACAAGAATATTCTCAGGACAAAATAACTAGGGGTGTAAATGAGCCGAACACGAGCTGAGCTTGGCTCGTGTTCGGCAAGCTCAGCTCGTGTTCGGCTCGTTTTTTTTTCGGGCTT